CTGTTGTTTACTTTAATGCTGGATATAGTTCTTGGAAATTTTTGGTTTTAGCTGTTGGCAATTGCTGACCCCACCAATTATGTTTTGGGGTAATCAGTGTTGTTGATATCACAGTGAGCACCAGGTATTTACTTTAATCATGTACATTGTTTTCTGAAGTTGTTGATATTTTTTCCACATTTTTTGCGAGGTAGTGGGAATCTACTAGAATACTTCAGGTTTTGCTGCTGAGCTAAATCCAGCCAAGAGTTAATACACTTTGCTCCACACACAAACTAATCATGCTAAAACTTCAGTAATACTTTAATACAAAGAATGTAAGAGAAAAACCCCCAAACAAATGACCAGTCCTCAAGTAGAAATGGGTAAGTGGGGCCCTCAGATCCCACACGTGGGCATCCACTCCTACAACAAAAGCATACAGTTTATGGATACCTACAAGGGGTCTCAATCTCTGTTCATGCCCATAACTTGCTAGAATATACAGAGGTTTTGTATAAAGAAAGCAAACACAGAGAGTGTACCTCATATACCCTGCTGTATACAACACAATTGCCAAATCTACAAGAAATACCTCACAATTTTGAGACTTACAGGAAAGTAGGATCCTCAAGCTATGACATAATGCACACTGTATCAAAATACACTAATCATCATCAACGAACTAGCAGGTAAACTGTACTACAAACTTATTTGGAAATATACTTAAAAGTTCACAATACCCTGATATTCCAGAACACTTTGTCAGGAGAAGACTGTGCCCTACAAAGGCCCCCAGCATAAAACACAACAAAGTAATACAAGAAATATGAAAAAAAATAAGGTAACACGACACCTACTAAAGTTCACCAGCAATGGATTCCAAAGATACATAAGTGTATTAAATAAATGCCAAATAAAGAATTATTATAAAATGATCAACGAATTCCAAGAAATCAGAAAAACAACCGAATAAATTAAGGAAGTCAGTATAGGATATGCATGAGAAAATCAATAAGGAGATATCAATATTGAAAAAGAACCAAAAAAAATCTTGGAAATGAAAAACCAAATAAATCAAATAAAATGTTCAGTTGAAAGTCTGTTTAATAGACTATACCAGGGTAAAGACAGAATCTTAGAGTGGGAAGACAATGTAGCCAACCTTGAACAGACAGTATTAAAGAAAATGAAATAAGTAACAATGACCAACACTAAGATAAAATTAAGAGAACAAATTTGAGAATAGTTAAAATTGAAGAAAATTATAAAATGTAGGCTAATGGCATGGATAATCTCTTTCGGGAAATAATAACAGAGAAATTTCCAAATCTTGAGAATGAAATGACATCCAAATACATTCAGAATCCCAAACAGACAAGGTCAAAAAAGATCCTCTCCACAACACATTATAATTTAATTCATATAATTAAATGTATAATCATAATTAACATACAGAAAAAGGATAGAATTTTTAAAACTTCAAGAGGAAAAATGTCAGGTCACATTTAGAGGCAAGAAAATCAGAATCATGTCTGATTTCTCAGCACAAACTCTGAAATCCATGAGTGCTTGAAATGATGAGTTCCAAGCCCTGGAAGAAAATAACTTTCAACCAATATTGCTATATTCAGCAAAGTAATCTTTTGGAATCAAAAAATTTAAAACTTCAAAGATAAGCAGAAACTTAAACAATTCCTATGAAGCTGTCACTATAGAAAATATGTAAAAAAATAATACACATAGAAGAAATCAAAAACAAATTCCAGAGCCCACAAATGGACAGATCTCATTTGAAGAGTATCTAAGCAAATGCGAAACAGGACCAAATAAACATTAGAAATAAAAAAAAAATATCAGGACTAATAAACATTTCTCTCTCTCTCTCTCTCTCTCTGATAACTGATAACTTTGAATTTATTGACTTCAACTCTCAAATTAAAGACATAGGCTGGAAGAATGGATTAAAAACAGATTCAACTATATGGTGTTTGCAAGAGACTCACCTTATGGGCAGAACAACCACAGACTGAAAGTGAAAGGAGAGAAATTGATATACCATGCAAATAGAGCCCAGAAAAAAACACGAGTATCTATTCCATACTCAACAAAGCAGACTTCAAACCAAAATTAATCAGAAAGGACAAAAGTTAATTTTTACTAGTAAAGTGTACAATCAAACAAGAAGATATAATGATAATAAATATTTATACCCCAAATGTCAGTCCACCTAATTATATAAAACCAACACTGCTCAAAGACTCAGACAGACCCCATTAGAATAATACTGAGTGAATTCGACATGCCTCTCACCAATAGAGGCATGTTGAATTCACTCAATGTTGATAGGTGGAATAACTCTTTAGACTTAATATTATAAATCAAATGGACTTCACAGATGTCTATAGAATATTTCACACAACAAAAGATTAATTAATTTTCTTTCCAGTAGCTAATGAAAACTTTCTTCAGAATAGACCATATTTTTGATTGCAAAGCAACTCCTAGCAAATATAGAAAAATCAATGTAATTCCTTGCATTTTATTTGATCACAATGAAATTAAATCAGAAACCAACACCAAACTATATAGACACATAGCATTAAACAATGCAATTTGAAGTAATGAATGGGTGGTCAAAAGCAAGGAAAAAACTAAAAAATACTTAGAATCAAATGATCATAGTGACATAAGATATTAGGACATAAGATATTAGAACCTGTGGTACACTAGGAAGAAATTTTATAGTTATGAGTGCTTATAAAAGAAATCTAGGAGCCGGGCACAGTGGTGCACACCTGTAATCCCAACAGCTCAGGAGGCTGAGGGAGGCCACAAGATCAAAGCCAGCCTCAACAACTTACTGAGGGCCCAAGCAACTTAGTGAGACCCTGTCACAAAATTTAAAACATAAAAATAAAAAGGGCTGGGGATGTTGCTCAGTGGGTAAGCACCCCTGCATTCAAACTCTGGTTTACAAAACAAGAGAAAGAAAAAAGAAAGGGAGGGGGGAAGGAAGGAAACCAGAAATATCCTAAATAAGCCAATGATTCATTTTGAGATACATGAAAAACAAGAGCAAGCTAATTTCAAAGCTGAAGTCAATAAAGTAGAGAATAAAAAAATACAAAGGATTAGTGAAATGAAGAATTGGTTCTTTGAAAATAAATTGGAAAACCCTTAGCCAAGAAGGAAAAACACTCAAAAAAAAAAGGGGAAGACCTAAATTAATAAATTTTGAGATGAAAAAGGAAAGATCACCACAGATCTCACAGAAATCCATGGGATTATTAGGGACTATTTTGAAAACCTATATTCCAATAAACTGGAAAATCTAAAATAAGTGGATACATTTCTAGAAACATCTGTGAGTAGAATCTTCAGTCATTAGGACTATAGAATATTCCAGAGAGGAATTATAAAAGAAACTTAAGATAACTGTCCCTTCTCTCAAAGAGTTAATAATAAGGAGACCTTATTATTAAATTCATTACTGTTATCATTATTATTATATAAAGTCTCAGAAAGTTTGTTATTATAAATAATATCTAGCCAAGTGAAATCACCTAAATTGCAAATGACCCAAACATAAGAACACAAAGTAATTATGGACTCCATCAAACTTGTAAGAGGTGTAGTGTCCCAGGAAAGCCTGAGGTCATCAGAGGTGCTTGTCCGTCATAGACACACGCCAAGGGAGGAGTGAGCCGGCTGAGGTGCTGGGGCATGAGAGAGGACCCTGAGCTCAGCCGAGGCACAGGCAAGACTTGGAATGAAATTCAAGCTGCGTGTTCTGAGGAAAAGAGCACACAAGAATTGGGGCAGTTGCCAACTGCTCTGACCTTTATTTTTCTTATAAAGTGGGAACAACAATCACAATTATAATAATTTCCACTTTACAGGAGTATGATGACAATTGGGACGGGGTCTGTGAACCTGTCTTAGGATGGTGAAGATGATGGTGCTGAAGGTGATGTTTCCCCTTTGCTGTGAAATTCACTTCTTCCTGTTGCAGAAACAGATCCTCCCTGCTCATTGCCCCTCCTCAGAGCTCATGCCTTTACACAGCCTTCGGCTTGTGAGCAGCAGAGCGCAGAGTTTCCAAGGAGCCCCTGGTGGAGCTGGGAGGAGTGCTGGCAATCGAGCCTGCTATCTGGCCAACCAGGGTCTGCATTTGCAATCTGTTTGATTTTGTTTCCTTCTTGGAGCCATAAGGAAATGTATTTATTTAAAATGTGGAATCCGTCCTTTCCATATGCCCTTCTCTTCCCTCTAAGGGTTTATAATCTAGCCTCACACATACAAACACATATGCAAATACACATGTACACAAACACAGACCAAACATGGCGAAAAGTCAGAACACGGCTCTCATGTCACATTTAGGCCATATTCATGGATTCCACAACATCTGTTGAAAATCAAGTATCTGCCAGGCCTGGCACTGAGCACCACAGCGCTGTGCAGCAGGCTACTCTGATTTATTAGTTTCTAATCAGGTGACAGTATTATGCAGTAAAAACACAATGCAATCAGCTGGCCTTATCTATCAGCTGTTAAATAAGTTCATCCTGGTCTACCGGGTTCAACTCGTTATTAATCTATTTGTGAAGTCACTTTATCTATTTACATAGGGCATATCTTTGATGTCACAGGCACGATTATACTAGAAACCAATTGGATATTCAAGGGCAAGCAGCTTTGCCACCAAATAAGATGATGTCATTCTTCCTGATGACAAACAGGAAGGGGTGATCAGCTCTAAACACTTAATGGCTTATAGTCATATTTATGAATCATTTTCTCATGAATTTAAATACTAGTACTTATGATTAGCTCATCAGTCTGTAGAATTGTAAAAGTGACTTTATGTGTCATAAATTAGTGAAATTGAACCAAATCAGACTTATTTTACAAAAAAACACTTTTTTTCCTTTCATAGAATTTTTGTTTGGGCGAGGAAAAAAAAAAGAAAGTTCTGATAGTGTCACAACTGGTTAGAGGAAAACAATCACACTATACAGATGTGGTATTTTCTTTATTTTGATAAATAAAGGAAAAACGTGTGAACTTTACAACATATGAACCAACAGGTGAAGGTGCTTAATATCTGAAAAACTATGTACATACATATTAAGTCTATTAAGGAAAGCCCAAAGGTGACAACTTAAAATCATTAATAAAATATTTTGTTGGTCCCCAATCCCAATTCCATAGTTTTTTAGCATATAGACTATACATTGAGTTAAAATCAAATGCATTAAAGTCAGCTTTCATGTCTTCTAAGGTCAGCCAGGAAGTTTTCCTTCACACTGATTTCTAGGAAACACCAGTCTTAGTTCCCAGATCATTCAGAACCAAGCTAGAAAATCTGCAGTGTCTAGAGTTTCAAAAAGGATTCCTAGTGCTGCTTCTACCTTCTCACTGCCTGTAAGCAAGCTCCATCATCCCTAGATAGGCTATAGAGGAGAATGGCAGGAAGGAGTGTGGGTGGAAAGCCAATGAAATTAGAAACCAGGGACCAGATAGAAGTAGAAAGGCTAAGCTCAGGGATCAAGACAACCAACCAGGCATCTGAGAGGGGTTGGGTCACCGAAATTATCTGCTGGCCAATGTTAGGAAGAAATAAAGTTAAAGGAACACCACACGATTCCAACTCAGCAAATCTATTTACATAGGGCATATCATTGATGTCACAGGGACGATTATACTAGAAACCAATTGGATATTCAAGGGCAAGCAACTTTGCCACCAAATAAGATGATGTCATTCTTCCTGATGACAAACAGGAAGGGGTGATCAGCTTTAAACACCGTCGAGTCAGGGAGCTGCTTTTCCACAATGTTATTTTCTGTGGCAGCAGTTGCCTCTGAGCCCTCCTCGGTGACCTCTATGTAAGACTTGTGCATTAGTTTTGATATATAGAGGCGACCTCCTGAAGCTATTCCAGAGAGATCAGCTCTGGACTCATCAAAGATATCCTTCAGCCCCAGGGTGCTCAAATGCCCTTTCATTTCATAGTTCTTCTCTATCTTGAACTTCGGAAGAAACACCTCCACATACTGAGAGGTCATTTTTCTTGGATTGGTCCACTTCATTAGATTCCGAAAGGACAGTTTGTTCTCAACCTGTAGGAATATTGTAAATGCCATTTAGAATCTTATGGTTAAGAAAATATGAAGCAATAGCTGCCAAGACAAACAGTTTTCCATTATTACCCACTCTTGAATTTGTGAATTTAGGTATATGAATGGGAACTGGAGGAGCCTGGGAAGGGAATGTGATTTAAATGATAGTTCAAGTACATTTAAAAAAATAAACCCCATGTTTAATTTCTCCCCTATGATGAGGCCTGACTTGCAAGCACTTCCTATCTTCTCTGTTCTCTGCCCACATAGGAACAAATACAGCCAAAGTGAAATATGGCTGGATGAAGGATCCAATTGAAACAAGAGCTCAGCAGTCATTTAAACCAGAGTTTTGTAATCATTTACCTTTCACAAAAGACAGAAAATAATAATGTTTGCACAACTTACAGGAGCAAATCAATGAAAACCAAGGTGGCTTGAAAAAAAAGATCCAGAGCCGCAGCCCTGGGAGCTTGGTGACCAATATCCACAACCCCAGGGAGGTCTGGATCCAATAACTCTCTTGGCCAACACATGAGAAGATGGAATCTCAAGGGACGTAGGGAGGTGTGCTCGGGGTGCACAGTGCACAACCTCAGTTACACAACCAGGAGCCCACCCTTCCCTCCAATGCCGTTGCTGCCCCAAACGACAACTCACAAATTGAATTTGCCGGCTCTTGGATACTAAGAATTGATCATAGATTCTTCCAGATTTAGAATGGGGAGATTTTTCATGAACATTTTCAGAAATCTCATATATGGGCATTCTTTTCAAATTTAGATTCACTGAAATGTTTACATACCTTTTCATATACATTAAGCTTCACTTGTATTTTTATTAAGAACATTGATTCATATAATCAAGTTTAGTACATTTGAAAATTCTGTGTGTAAATTTTCCAGTTTGTGGCTAATCTATAATGATTTTTTATTCTAAACTGAGTTTTTTCTCAGCTTACTAAGTGCCCACTTCCTTATCATTATCTGATTATGCAGAAATATAAGTATTTGAGCTTTTGTAGTGTGAGAAATTTTATGAATCTAATTCACATGTTATTAGGTAAATTATTATAGGAAAAATCTCAGACAATAAGTACAAGAACAAATTTTCTCTTCTGCCAATTTTTGTTTCATATGGGCTACTTTCTGCACTAATGCCAATATTTTAAGGTAAAACAATTATGTGTGGTAAAATATAATTGTTATGAAGCTTATCAAGTGAATTGTTCAATTAATCTGAGTATCACTATTTTATATTATCATGTTTTAGATTTTAATCTTCATTTTTCTCTGTGGTTCCTTACTAAAAAGAATATTAAGATAAAAAAAAAACTAAAGAAAGTCATTACAATAATTCAGGGGTCTTCTATGTAGAAACTGAATTTCCAAAGCTATAAAGTTTTGTTTTTGAATCATAGGAAAAAGATGGACTGGAGAGTGGACGCATTGGTTTTTTTACACTGTTCCTACTTTCCAATTATATTACAATGAATTTTCCTTGTTTTCCAGATCAAAACATAGCCAATATTTTAAATTGCATTTGTAACTTTTTACTGTAGTTGACATGCGCATACACACACACACACACATATATTTGCACATATGCAGCTGTGAGACAAATTAAATCCCACGAGCCTCTTTTCCCTTTCTCACACAGTTGCTGTTAGAATCAAATGAAATAGTAGAAATGAAATGGAGAGCCCATGGCCTGCAATGTAGGAGGTATTCAATTAATGGTGTCAGATTATTTATTTTTATTGAGAGAGCAGGGAAGGGAGAGGTGACCAACCAAGGCCTCTGGGATGGCAGGTCACAAACAGAAAGAGCCAAGTTCAGGCGGAGGATAAATGGAAGAAGGGCTGGAAGAAAAGCAAGATCTGAGATAGAGTGACGACACCTGGTTTGCTCAGCCACCACCGTCTGTTCCTGCACTGTGCTGGTCTGTTTCTCCTGTGACATCCCTAATCACCACTTGGCACCAGAGACACGGCGGCACAGTCTGATGCTATACATTTTCATTCTCCAAAGGCTCATGATGCCAGTATTTCCTGCCAACTGAAGGTGGTTGGCCAAACAAAAATTTCATAACATTAAAGACTCTTCATAACCAAGAGTTAAAAAGACCTAAGCTCATGTGTTTTGAACTCCATGGCTAGATCTGAGAGTGTCCAAAGTTTATAGCTATTCAACCACTGTTGTGATAAACTGAGATATTTCAGTCTCATCATCTGTAATGGTGTTTGGCACATTCGTAGGTACTCCTTAAATATTTGTCAAATAAATAGGTAAGTATCTAACAGCCTAACCTGAAATCTTAAAATTGATGGATAAAAACACAACCAAGAGTTTCCTAAAGGTCTTAATATTCCCCAGGAGTGGAAGTGACCAGTCACTTACTTGAGATAGGTCGTTCTCGGGCAGCAGAATGTACATGCTTATGCCACTGTGATACCTGAGCTGGAGAACCTGCATGGATGGATCCTGAATAGTGGACAAGTTGAACTTCCGCTCTTGATGCATCATGGCAACTGGCTTCCCAGGACACTGCAAGTCAAGTCACAAAAAGTAATTCATAATCCCACTTACTTTATTTACTGGCTGAGTGCATATGAAAAATATTATACTTCTTAGTCAAAGCTGTAGACTTTTTCTGACATGCTGCTTTCATTGGGGCACAGCCTAGTTGTAAAAGCACAGGCTTTGAGTTTACCCTCTGGTCTCAACTGTGTGACTTGGATAAGCTACTTCTTACCTGTATCTCCATTTCCACACCTACATGATGGAGATGGCAAGAATTCTTGCTGCAGTGGATTATGAGGACTGTGTCAGCTAATGTATTAGCAGCTAGAACTTGGCCTTGCACTTACTGTTATAACTGAAAAGTCTAACAGGCAATGGATAATTACTAAATAGCAATACAGTGAAAATGAATGCTATGGATGTTCTCTCTTATCAGAATAAACTACGGACTAGGATTATCAAAATTACACAGTTTAAAGATGAAGTCTTGGAAAATTAAAAATTCCTGCAAAAGATTTGATAGTATCCCTTAAGTTCACTTGAAGAAGCACAATAGCTATTGTCTCAAAGATGCTGTTCATAGATTTAGGAACACCAGAGAGATGTAATGGACTGTCTTTTTGCTAATGATATTATAATCTGCAAACTTGTCAACATTTCTTACAATACCTCCTTTCAGGACAAATGGTTTTACATGGGGAGGTCATTTCTCTGTCCTTGAACCAAAGATCCTTCTCCCTCAGGAAATTTGCCTCTTTTGACTTACAGTCTGATCCTTAGAAAGGACACACATAAGCAGTGAACAGGTAGCATTTGCCCAGTGAGTCAGGTCAAAATAATTGAGCTTGGTATAAGTGGGATAAGGATTTCATACCATAACATTATATTTTCTATACTGGGGCAGGGAAAGAATTACACATGCTAAAGGGGTGATTTCACCAATTTTTAATTTGGTGCAACCAACATTAATGCCATTAATCAAGATTCCATAGCCTAGTCCATGATAGAACACACAGTCTCTCTCTCTCTCTCTCTCTCTCTCTCTATATATATATATATATATATATATATATATATATGAATATATATATATATATATATGAATACTTTAAAAAACAAAACTCTATTAGAAGCAAAAAAAATCCAGGAGACAGGAATGTTTTGTGCTTTGCCTTCACTGTTGGAAAGGAGGAAACAAATGGAATTTACTATAGAACTATACCATCAACTGGGGAAAAGGCTGAGGAAAGAGTGGGAAACTCAGTCACTGAAATTCTAATACTCCCTAGTGTGCTTCATATTACTATTATCCAGTTAATATCTTTAGAAGACAGAGCTGTATTTTGTTAGGATTTATTATATTTATTATTTTGTCATATGCAATTTTCAAAATATATCTGTGCCAAACTCTTTCTTCTCATAGAGACACACACACCATGAATTTGCTCCACTAGGCTCTGACTTAGGACCCCAGGTCGGGGACACAGAGCAGGCCTGGCCTGCAGTCCAGGCAGCCAACGCAGGGTGCAGTCTAGTCCCAGTTCTGCTCTGCACTGGTGTCTCTCCTGGCTCTCCCTGGAGTTACCATACCTGCACACAGCGCCTGCTTAGATTGCCTTTTACTTCCCTCCTCCTGACTCATTCACTTATCTTTAATTGCTATCAGCTCCCAGCATTTCCCGGTCCATAACTTCCAATAGAAGGTGCAGACAGACTATACCAAAGAGAAATACCAAAATACCACTTGGAAAATAAAACTAAATTTAAAAGTTAAATCTGAGTTTCTCTGCTTCAACATAAAAGGCTGAGTGATTGAAAAGAATCTTGAATGTCAACTAAACAAATCACTTTGTTTTGCGTAGGAAGAGGTGGTCCACCACAGTTCACTTGCCTCGGCCAACACAGCTTCAGTAAAGCTAGGCAGGGACCCCAACATGGGTGATTCCAAGGCTTCTGATGTTTCCCCTATACTATTACAAACTAAATACTGAACCAAGAGTCTATGCTTAAGCTTTGTAATAAGATGCTTTATGTTAAAAAAATAACTATTTAAAGAAATAGGTATATTTGTAAAGACATAAGTTTACTAAATATAACTTCATCCTTTATCAAAAGAAATATATCCTTTCTTTGACTCAGGAAAATTATTGATGATAAATGAGTGTTGGAGCCCACACTTTAAAAACACATAAAATAACATACACTTTTGTTGTGTTTTCTTTTCCATAGTCTTCCAATTGGAATATCTTAAAATAAATTCATACTTTAATACTTGTTTCAATAGGGAATATGTCTAAAGATATATCAGTTTACAAAGATCCCTTCAGTGTGTTTTGTAACCTATACTAGCATTTGCTTTATAAAGCATTGCTTGGTAATGCAGAAGAAATGGAAAGCCGACCGTTTGCCTGTGTAAATACCACAATTTCCTGCAAAGAAATACTAGTGGGGGAAAGCCTCCTGTGTAATGCAGGAGATGTACAAACCTTGGGAGAGTTGAACCGGCAATTTAAGGTCTCGTTCTTGGTGAAGGCCGACTCCCACTGGCCCTTGAAGTACACCGCATTTATCAGCACCATGACCGCGGAGGAGCTGATGCTGCCATCGCTAAACACCTTCTTTATTTTGCCTTTTAAAAAATAAATTGAGGGAAAAAAATTAATTCTTAATGTAAATGTAAAAACTGCTTTCAAAGATCATTAATGGGCATGAAGTCTTTCTCCAACCAAGTAATAATCACACTGATAACCATGATTATTAGTGATAACCTATAGGTAATTAATGGGTCTAGCACTTTCTAAATGCTTCAAGTGCAATATTGGTTGAATCTTTCTAAAATCTCTATGAGGCAGGCATTATTATTATTTGTTTTCTGTTAGAAAACTGGGACACGGAGAGATTAAGGAACTAATATAAAGTCACACCGCAAGAAAGCAATGGCAATAGGATTTCCTACCTGGGATGAAAATTTGCAGAGCCCCTGTTCATAAGCACCAAATGGCCTTTACTGCACTGATAGGGCCACCTGGGCTACTGCGGCACTTCAAGTATAGATAACTTCATTCAGCTGAAAGGGCTGATTCTTTCCTCATTCCTTATTAATGAGATTTTTGCTAGATGCCATCCACTATTCTGGGTACTTGAATTGAAACCATGAAAGTCATAGCCCATGCAACCTTCCAGCCCATAGTTTAAACACAGGGGATTTAACAACCTGACCAAGCAGCTGGGACATTCCAGTGGCACACAGGTGGGATCCGTGAGCTACAGGGGTGCAGGTTAGGATTCATCACCATGGAAAGGGCTGTCTGCTTGAGTCTGAGGGCACTTTAAGGGGGCAAGGGGAGCTTCCATAAAGCAAGACTGATTGTTCAAAGATATGGAATCCTGGAGGGGAAGTGTATTTGGAGGAAACCCTAATTCATCCCTATGTGTCAGGGAGAAGGAGAAGCTGGAAAGGTTGAAGGAAGGTCTGGTAAGAATTCTGGATTATCCTGAAGGTGATGGGGGCCATTCAGATTTCACTGAAAGACAAGGAGAGGCAGGTCATGATGGATGAGATCGACTTCTCAAACAGATGGCTCTGGTGTTGTGAAGAGAGAGGGGCAGTAAGACGCGGGTGGGTTGTTTAGGGTATTGGCAAGGGTATGAAGTTTCTTTCCCGAATAAGTGTTGAGGACATATGCTTATACAAATGATAATCACATATAGGTTTGTATGAGAAAGAGAAATAAATAACTGAGACAAAGGGGAAAAGATACTATCAATGTGATACCTTTAAATATTTAATATTACATAGAATAACTGAATAATAAATCTAGAGGAACTATGTAATTGTAATGGAATTCAGTTATTGGAAAAGTAACAATTACATAGTTCTTCTAGCTTTATTATTCACTTGTGCTAGCTAAGGACCAAAGTAATTCAATACTGATATAATGATGAATGAACAAACAAAAAGGAAATTGAGACATTGTATTCTTATTGCCAGGGTTAACTATATGCTGCTAAATCTTTGCTTTAAGAGTGTTAAATTATATGTCTCACATTTCTGAAGCAAAGAGACTCAATAAATACAGTTTTAATGCTCAGAGTACAAATCAATTCTTAAGTAAAGAAATAACTACTATCTTTTAAATCGGTTGATTAACAAATGATGCTAAATTTCCTTATTTGTTTTGCAATAAACAAAAACATTAAATAGAATTTAATTTTTAGTTGTGAAAAAGATTTACCAATAAAGAGTTGTACTTTTTCTGGAAGATAACTCCTTTGCCAAATATGTTATTTTGATAAATAAAGCAAATTTTAAAAGTAAAGATAAACTGTACATCCTTTAGAGAAAGCAATGACATGAAGATATATTTCTGTGACAGTAGAACATTATCACTTTAATAAAATCCAGACCAAGAAGGAGCAGTCACGTATGAAAATTAACCCAACCCTAAAAGGGGTGCACTATTAGAATGAAATGCTATGTTGTGGTCATGGAAAAGTGCTGTAAACAAATCTTAGGTCTTGTTCTCTAACTAGTGAAGATTGAGATTGATTCCATAGATTACATCCGGTTATTGTTGGTTTATAAAAAGGTCATAATAATATGTTTGTCTCACAAGTTTATTTCCCAGTCAAAAGAGATATTACACAAAACAAGATTTCTGAAAAGTAGAAAGCATTCAAAATATTAAGGGTTACTCAAAACCATATTGCAGAAAAATATTAAGGAAGTTTTAAAGAACAATAACCATGACTCGGTATTGACAGGAGCCATTCCTTATATACACAGAAACTCCCAGCTTTAACGTTGACAGTCCTCAATGTTCACATATAACTGACATATCTTGTAGAAAATTAAGACATTGCACTCACCATGTGTCTCATTTTCGATCCATTTATTAATCTTGTTTCTGGTATCTTCTACATCATTTGTAAAGTCCACCCGTTCTACTTTGGCATCGTATAATTTTTTAGCACATGCAATGTAGTTCTATAAATAAGAACACAGAGCTTGTAGTTACAAATCACCACTAAGTACATGAGAAATGTATCTTTGAACCTGTATCATGATTTCTACTGCTTTATTCACAGCCCCATCCACACCTCAAACATGAGTAAACGTAGCCGGATACATAACAAGATGGCTGTAGAGGGTCTGGTGAACGTGAAGTTGAATTTGTACAGCAGACTTGCTCTTTGGACTTCATTTTATCTCAAAAGATTGCAGAGGCTAATGGAGAATATACCTAAGGCCCACCCCCTTGGTTTACCCACTGCTGCCTCATTAAAAACCCCCAACAGCCGCCTAACCCGCCCCATCCAGGCTAATTATTGCACATAAGAGAAAACCAAGCCCTTGGACTCAGCCCTCCAGACTCTGACCTGTGCCCAACTTGCCTCATTGCCAGTCACGTTCCCCTTCATCCTCTGCCCTCTCTCCATCCCCAGTTCCTTACAGTCCCTCAAAAGGGCATCTGTGTGCCCTCTGTCCCTTGAAGTCTTTGAACAACATTCCTTCTTCCTGGAATGTCCCACATTTCTCATGGTTTTCTTGCTCATTTTCCCAATGTCACTGCCTCTCTTTGACAAATGTCTTTCCAAGATCCCTTCTATGTCTCATAACAGTCACTTTACCTTCTGTTTCTTTTCTTTTTTAATTGGGAAGAACATTTATAAATCTTTATGGGGGATATTGTGATAATATAACACTTACATTCAATGTGTAATGATCAAATCAGAGTAATGAGCACTTCCATCTCTTTAGACATTGATCACAGCTATTATAATACATCTTATTTGCATTTGAGCCCTTAACATGAAGTAAGGACCCTATATGCCTTGCTTATTATTATACTCCTACCACCCAGCATGTTGTCTTGCACGAAATACATGCTCAGAATTACTTGTTTTTAATAAAAGCATGATGACTTGATTTATCAGTATAATTTCCCCCAAAATGTATGTATATATATTTAATATATATTTAATATATACACATGTGTATAATATGTATATAATTTAATATATATATATATATATAATGTGTATATATATAATAATGAGTGTATATATTTAACATATATATACACACACATTTTGGGAAAATTTTTTCATAATTGGAAGAGAAAAGATTTAATGCAAATTATAGGTATTGCCAGTGGGTATACTGACAAATTACATAGGATTTTCAATTCTAATAAGGATCATCTGGTTATTCATGATCTACCTACAGGATGAGATGAGCTCTATGACGCAAGCTTTGTGTACCATATCCACGGATAGGGCTCTTTCCATCTACTGATTAATTCATCCATCCACCCATCCATCCACTCAGATACTGGTTACAAAGAGCAGTTTTAAAGAGCCAGTCTACTGCCGAGATAAGTTGATAAGTGCAAGATATCAGCAAGGAATGAGGTTGCTCAAGAAGAAGGGCTGGGAATTACATAGAGGCTATTCTTTACCACTCCCAGAAAACCCTGGAAAAGCTACAGGCCACTACATGCATTTATACCTTTTATACATCCTTAACCTTCTTCAGAGACTATTGCTTATGTCCTTAAAAGCAGACATAAATAGACATAAACTTAAATGACGCAAAGAGTAGAATTCATGGTAATTTACAAGAGCTCAATTCCACCTCAAGAATTTGGTGTTTTAAAGCATCTACAATGAGTGACTTCACAACTAACTCAAGCATTACCTGGTCCTATCTGAGATCATAATGCTGCTGGTCAATTCTTCTCTCACACCTCAATGACCCTCTCCCCTATTCTCTACTTCAGTTGTTCCAATAAACTAGTCATTTTCTTCAGATATGTAACCCCTCTGCATCTCTATCAGCTAATAGTGTTATATTCTACTTCTCTGTGGTCAAGGTCATTTTAGATTACTATCTCTATCTCTGAGAAATAAGTATCCCTCTCTTTCAAGGAAAAACCTGGGCCATTAATATTATCTGTGATTGTTAATTGTATGTGTCAATTTGACTGGGCCATGGGGTACTCACACAATTGACCGAACATTATTGTGCATGTATCTGTGAAGATGCTTCCAGATAAGATTAACATCTGTATCAGCAGACTGAGTAAAGCAGAATTTCTCCATGTAATGGGTATTGATGGGCCTTTGTTTTGTTTTGTTGTCTTTTGGAAGAATTTCAGAAAGATTAGTATTAGTTCTTTAAAAGTTTGGTAGAATTCAGCATTGAAACCATCAGGTCCTGGACTTTTCTTTGATGGAATACACCTGATTTATAATTCAATCCCTTTACTCATTATTGCTCTGCTCAGATTTTCTATTTCTTCATAATTTAGTCTTCCCAGGTTATATGTTTACAGGAATTTATCCATTTCTTTTAGATCATTCATTTGTTGGCACCTAATTGTTCATATCAGTCTCTTAAGATCATTTATATTTCTGTGGCATCAATTGCAACATCTTCTTTTTCATTTCTCAGTGTTTCTTTTTCCTTAATAGTCTAGTAGAGGTTTGTCAGTTTAGTTTATTTCTATCAAAAAGTCAACTCTTAGTTTCATTGATCTTTTTGGTTGTTTTCTAGTATCTATTTCATTTGTATCTGCTCTGGGGTTTAGTATTGCCTTCCTTCAGCTAATTTGTGGCTTAGTTTGCTCTTTCTCTAATTCATTGAGATGTAGTATGAGGTTTTTTTTTTTTTTTTTTTTTTTTTTTGCCTTTTCTTCCTATCTGATTTAGGCATTTACTGTTATAACCTTCCTCCCATGACCACCTTTCTGCATCTCATAAAATTTGGTGTGTTGTGTGTCCAGTTTACTTTATCTCAAGCTATTAAAAATTTATCTTTCTAAACTCTCTATAGACCTAACCATTGGTGGTTCAGAGGGAAAATGTTTTTGTTTTTGCTTTTCTCTAAGACCTGAAATTTTTCTGTTACTTTGAAAGTATTTTAAATAAGTGTTTTGGTTTTTTGTTTGTTTGTTTTGTTTTGTTTTGTTTTGTTTTGTTTTGTTTTTAAGTGGAAAGAAGCACTACAAAGCTTAGGAAAACAAGAGCAGTCAGAGGTGACCTGATACCCAATGGGTCACTCATTAAAAGAGAACAAGGAGAGACAGAAGGTACGGGATCAGGAGATTTGCTGTGTTTAGGAACCTGCAGATGCCAACTTGAGGACTTACATGGGGCAGGGATACAGTTGAGCCTGGCATTAAGGAATAAGTGACGGCTTGTCACATGACTGTGGAGAGATGCAAAAATACAGAGGACAGCCTCCAGAAACTCTATACTGTATTCATAGATCACCTCTCCCTATGTAAGAAGGTGGATCAAAAGTGGAAGATGACCAAGTCAAACCCCTAAAGAACATTCACATTTTAAGAATTATTAGAGAAAAGATGATAAGCTGAGGAGATTGAGATGAAGCGACTGGAGGAGAAAGTAGAAAAGCTGGGAGAAATTAATGTTATAGAAATGATGAGAGGAGGGCTGGAGATGTGGCTCAAGTGGTAGCGTGCGCTTGCCTGGCATGCATGCAGCCCGGGTTCGATCCTCAGTACCACATACAAAGATGTTGTGTCCGCCGAAAACTAAAAAATAAATATTAAAATTTTCTCTCTCTCTCTCTCTCTCTCTCTCTCTCTCTTAAAAAAATGATGAGAGGAGAAATTTCCAGGGTTATCAACAGGGTTGCCAAGAGTCTATCTGGGATGGGAGACTGTGGCACAGTAGTGGCAACCGCATACTTCGAGGCTTTCCCAGGAAAACTTGCTGAGGAAATTTGTGGCATTGGTATGAATTTGGAGGTTTGCTGGAGAAGGAGGGAGTTGGGAAGAGAGTGGTTAAGGAATGGATCCATGAGAAATTTGGTATAATGGTGAATATGTTCAGAAAAATTGGAGAAGTTAAGAGACTGAGTAACAATCAAAACAGCTGAAGAACAGGTAGAGCGGAAGTGAAAGAACAAGAAGCCTGGGATCCTATGGATACAGAGATGATCACCTTTGAAAACAGTAAGGAGAGAGGATCAGGGAACAGAAGCCAGCAAGTAGGGCCGACTATCCACTTGCGTGGTTGTCCCAATCCACAGCCACAATGAAGTTAGCCAGACAGTGGCAGCAGTTGAGGGAACATGGAATGGCATTTATAGAAGTGTGGCCCAAGTCATATTCAGAACAGATTGGGAACAAAAGGGAGAAGAAGATATCAGATATGACAGTTGAGTCTTCTATGAGTGGAAAAGGCATTATGGATCAAAATCTAAATAGCTTGGCAGTTATTGAAGTTTTTGCTGATTTAAAAATGATTAAAATGTTGTGATTCATTACATTTAAAATAAAAAGTACTTTTTAGAATAACTAATGGCATTGCTTCCCTTTACAACCTCTCTGCCCAGTATTGTGGATTGAACCCTGTGGTGCTTTACCGCTGAGCTACATCCCCAGACCTTTTTAATTTTTCATTTAGAGAGAGGGTCTCATTAAGTTTCTGAGACTGGTCTCAAATTTGTGATTCTCCTGCCTCAATCTTCTGAGTAGATGGCACTATAGGCATGCACAAACTCACCCACTTGCATTGCTTTTTACATACCATGTGTACAGAAAAAAACATGGAAATCTGCTATAAATAGTAGCATGATAGCCAGGCATGGTGGCAGATGACTGTAATTCTAGCGGCTCAGGAGGCTGAGGCAGGAGGATTGTGAATTCAAAGCCAGCCTCAGCAATTTAGCAAGGTGCTAAGCAATTCATTGAGACCCTGTCTCTAAATAAAGTACAAAAAAGCATTGGGGATGTGGTTCAAAGTGGTTGAACTTCCCTGTGTTCAATCCCCAGTACCCCCCAAAAATAGTAGCATGATAGACAGATCAACACCCAGTTTAAAGGAGTTAGTAGTCCCTCATGGGGACAGCAGTGGATATAAGAAAAGAGAAATCAGATGTTGAACATATGAAGAGACCCAGTAAAAAATTGTGCAGAAATCTTTTATGAAGAGTCAGAAGGTGACCTGATGCTTCATAATTGGCCAGAAACCAAAGATTGGAAGTTTTATTGGGAGGGGCAAAGAATTTGAGTGGGTGACAAACAGAGAAAACAATAATGATTGGGTGGAACAGAGAGAGCTGGCAAAGATGAAGACAGAGATTAGCCCAGCAATGTCTGAGGCAGAGTTTTATAGATAGTTGTCTGAGGAGTGGAGAATTAAGAGGGAGAGAAAATATGTACAGAAAAACTATAGGCAGTACATCAGCTTAACTGTCCAAACCAAGTAAGCAGTTTCTGGTAGTCATAGCAACCAGAGCATGGATTGGGCATAGCAACCAGGAGAGAGTCTTCTGTGCCTAACAGGCCTATGGGTAGGCAGGATGCTACAATGAATGCATCCATTACCAACATTATACAGAAGTACAAAAAATTAGTCTGTGACCCCCTTTTCCAACTCTGTGTTAGATTTGAGCTTCTCTTCTATCAATGGCTGGTCTTATCTGGCCATATCTCCCAAGAGGGACTCGTTTATAAACAGTCTCACAGTAATATAAGAAAATTCTGGAAGGAGAGGTGAAAAGCACGGCTGAAAAAAAGAAGAAGAGCTCACACAAAGGATGCCAACGATGTCTCACTAGACCCAAAGTGCAAAGGAACACTGATGGACACTTCCTATGGGCCCTGGACTCCCCTAAATGTGCTGAATGCCCTCCAAATACAGCTCAAAGTCTCTGCTAATGCAGAAGGTCTCTTCTACTTAGAGCCCATCAGTGCAGAGACTCTGAATATGTGGATTCATAGCATGAAGAGTTGAACTCTGGACACAGTGATGATATTTTGAAGATATTTGGCAATGTGATTAGCCATAAGAAAAAAAAATCACTTTTGTATGGCTAAGTAGAAAGGCATAATCCTTTCTTCTCACACACACACACACACACAACTGAGCAATATTCCAGATCCAGAGTGGAATTAATCTTCTCAAATAAGCAGTTTTCACCTACCTCATGAATGTCAAATATTTTTTCTGCAAAAAGACCATTGGCAATGCTGAGTTCATAATCCTTGTGGGATGAATTTATATCAGAAAGAACTCTTTTCAACTGATACTGGAGTCCTGGCTGCTATTAAAAGATGTGTTAAAAAAAGTTGTTTAAAAATTTATTCTTGAACTTTAGGTATATGCATAATCTTAAGTACCTGTGAAATAAAACATGTACATTATACTATAAAAGAACTCAAAATGATGCTATAAAAGCAGCAAGTGATGCCATATTCATATCCAATGTTTCACCCTTCCTCATAATAATGTCTGTTATCAGATTTGAAAATTTACTGAAATGGACTTAGAATAAAACTGTTCATACGAAGCAGTTTGTTTAACATGTGTACCAAATAATTGATTTTACCAACATGTTAACTGTGATAACGTAGGAGAAAGGCATATAATTTAGATTCATTTGAACTTAACAAAATCTGGCCAAAACACAAGTAAAATATTTGTAAATTAATAATTAACAAGTAACTTTTCAAAAATTTTATTTGAAATATCTGGGGATCTAGAACAGGCTTCATTGTTTAAAAAAAGAGAGAGAGAACATATTAAAATATATTCATTAAACAATAATTCTTCTCAATTTAGTCTCATTCTCTTTTTTAAAAGATCATATTGTCTTTACCTGGTTGTTGGAAGAGTTTCCACGTCCTATGTTATAGTAAAGGGTCTACAAACAGAACAAAGGAGAGTGGTTGTCAGAATCAGAGATTACCAGGGAAATGGCTGACAAGAGACCTTATAGATAAAAGTATGTCTTTCCCAATACATTTGTCTAATTGCTATTCCAAGTTCACCAGTATCCTAGAGTAATGCTCACCATCACTAGTGAGCTGAGAAGGAGAGAAGCATGTTATAGCTTTATTTTTCATTTCATTTTTTTTCTTTCTGCACATGATGATTTCTCTCAGCGTCACCAGGATTTTGGAATTCATGTTAATACACATAAACACTACAGTGACTGGCTTCCAGAAAAATATGCTCATGGGTGGTGCATTCACACTGGGTGCTATGTTGCCCACTGGGCCTAGCGTCACACTGAACAGAAAGCATATTAGAACATTTGAACCTGAACCCAACAGTTTACCATATAGTCAACGAACTCTGCCAAAGTCCTTACGAAATAACTCAAGATACCTGTGAACTGTTTTATGATCTGTTGAATGACTCAGCCTCTTTTTAAAATGACCTTGTAGTTATACTTTTAGCATTTAAGTCAATATAAATTAGGTCCTCCACTCATGAGTTTGTTTAACATTTATTTATGTTTTACCTACTAGATTCCCACACAACTTATTTTTAAGTAATTCTTGAAACATATAACCCATCAGCATTTCCTACTGATTATTATCTCTAAATTTCTTGAAATTTCATTTTATAAAATAACCTTAATCTTTGCTTTTATTGGCTAGGTCCTAAAACACTGTGTCCTTCCCATTTGAACACTTGAAGGACTTTCTCTCTTCCTTTTCTTCCTGCCCCCAATCTTACAGAAGTCTCAATATGTGTAACTTCCCCTAATTTTCAAGTTACTAGTAATACAAAACTCAGCACTGTGTGAATACATGCCTTACTTTATCCAATAGATTTCAGCACAGATTGCTAACACTTTAGTGTTGTTCGTTTTACCCACACATTGTCTCAAACAATGCACAAAACAAATTTAGTTAAGGTAGTCACTTGTATTGACCAAATTTTAAAGCTACATTTTGTGTATCAGGTATGATTTTGATTATGAAAAGAACATTTCAGTCTGATAGAGCGTTTCCTCATCTATTCTCTGCACAGAGAACAGTCAAAACTGTTTTCAATAAAACCCACCATCACTGCTGTCACCTCCCCCAGCAGCCCTGCCCTCTGGGCCATTGTGGAAGCTTGACTCAAGGTCACACTATGGTGGCTTCAGACAAAAGAAGAGAATTTTTTAGACTCTATCAAGATTATGCTTACAGAGGTTTGTCAAATATAAAATGTTATAAATCTGCAGTTTTATATTAAATGAGTTTATTGTTTTTTAAAAGATATGTTATATTCATGATAAAATAGAACTAGAAAACAATTTTTTTCAGTTTAAAAACTTCCTTACTTACACTAGTAAGTATAAACATCACTCCTGCATTAAGGTATAGTTTTGACAAGCATTAATTATTTTTTTATTAATATATTTATTCTAATATGGTATATATGACAGCAGAATGCATTTTGATTCATTGTACACAGTTGCAGCACAACCTTTCATTTCTCTGGTTTTACATGATGTAGCATCACACCATATGTGCAGTCATACATGTACCTAGGTAATGATGTTCATCTCATTCCACCATGTTTCCTGCTCCCACAGCATTAATTCATTGCAAGTGGATTTTGTTCCAATTGTGAGTGATTAACATATCACATATTCATCTGCAGAAAGACTCAAAATTTTGAACTAGAACCTTAAGTGACCATGTACCAGAGGCCCTTGGACAGTTCTGGGCTGGCAGTGCACAGCAACACCAGTACTTTATGAAGGAAAAAGCTTCCTTCATAAATCTGTAGGTTTGGTAAACTGACATTGTGAGGCCGCAGAACTGAAAGCCACAAGTCAACGCAGTCCACAAGAAAACGTGTGTGTGTGTTATGATGAAGAAAATATGTAAAAGTAAGATATCATTTTAATCTTAAACTTTCACTATATTATGAGAATCTTACTCCTTTCCAACATTTCTACTAGATAAAAGAATAATTCACCCTCACTGCCTATATCAGAAAGGAAGAACACAATTGGCTGCTCTCGCTGTCAATCATCAAGTTTAAGAGGCTGGCCAGTCACTTCAAAGGAGAGCAGCAGAGGCCACAGCACATCCACTGAGCTTTTCAGTAAACAAAAATTCCCTGGATTCCCTTTAAATGGAAGAGCAGAGAGGTATCCAGGTACACTCAAAATATTTATGAACTTTTTTGATGGATGCTGAATATATGAATTTTTGGAGATCTTGGGGTTCTGAAATGTTCATTCTCTGTCTCAGAGAAAAGAAAATCACATCATAATTTGAAGTCCAGCAAAAATAAGAGCTTTCCTGCCTCTTTTGGCAAAAGCAAAATAAAACAAAACAAAAAAAGCTTTCTAAAACATACTGGTGGCCACACGAAACAATGAATTTAAATTTTAATGTACTGTTGAGTAAAGGCAAGGATTCCCCTCTTATAATAGCTTATATGTTGAAAATGGTTTACTGATTTGATAGTTCCTCATTCCCCCCACCCCCAGGAAATTTTACTCATAATAGGATTAGTGATCCAAAATTCTCAAAGAACAATGAATTTTGTCCTTCAAATAGAAAAGGGTTTCCCTTAGGCAATGTCCTAAAACATCATTGTTAGCCTGCCTTGTGGCCATCATGGTATTAGCTCCTGGAGCTGGAAATCTGTGATGTTTCCACATTACTAAAACTAGGGCTGAGGTTGTGGCTCAATGGTAGAGTGTTCGCCTCACATGTTTGAGACCTTGGGTTCGATCCTCAGCACCACATAAGGATAAATAAGTGAAATAAAGGTATTTAAAACAGAGATAAAAAGTAGAAAAATATCATCTGAAGAATATAATAAAGTAGAGGATAAAAAAAAAACGTTGTACACTCAAAACGGCAGTCTTTTATAAAGAATGTCAAAAGAAGTAAACGATCTACCAGCCTTTTATAAATTTACGTAAAGAGTTAATACCCACAACAATAATTGGAATAATATTTCAAGTCATCTTTGAAAAGAAAAGGGTATGCAATGTTGACAAGATCCTGACATATCAACACACAAGATGATTTTAGAAAGGACTGCGTTTGAAACCCGGGAAGGACTTCTTAGCCACAGTGACCCAGGTAATTTTTTCCAGATTCCAGAAAAAGTCAGAGTGGGTTTGGAGGAGCAATCAATAGCCTCATCCCCAGCCCAGAAAGATCCTCTCGGCTGGTCTTCCCAGTCCTTTGCTTTAGGGAATAAATGCTGTTGATCTTTAACAAAATCAACTCAGACACATCCACAAATACTAGAGAGGCAGAGACCAACCTGTGGGAGGAGGCAGCAGAGGCCACGAACATGGGCCTTCCACCTGTCTGCCTCCCCTCGCAGCAGGTGCAGCAGGACCATGTCCCAGCACAGGGTCTTCACCATCATGAACTTCTAACAGGACGGTTTAAATCTCAACTATTGCCCCCTTGGAGGTGCCAAACAGCTCATTCAGAGACCACAGAGGGGACAGTACTGACAGATGGGTAACAATAAAGTGGGTCAGACTTCTAGCCTGTATTTCATCACTGAACAAGAAAAGACCTGGTGAACAACAGCAACAACAGTGACAACAGGTTGGTGAGGAGATGAATATGTTAACTGGCTTGATTTAATCTTTCTACAGGTATGCATCAACCAAAACAACAATTTTTATTTGTCAATTAAAATTAATTCACTTTAAAAATAAAAAAAAATAAAAAGTTGACTTTTAAAAAAAAGGTAGTAGTGAAATAAAATAAGGAGTGGAGACTTTGTTGTTGGTGGTTGTGTTGATGGGTTAGTTGGCTGGTGTGTATGGCAGGAAGTAAAAGTACATAGCCTGACTGACGTGGTAAAACAGACTATTCATCAAGAAAACATAAACTGGAAGAGTCAATTCAGTGGCTGCAAAATTAGAAGTGCTTAATTGTTTTTGTTTGTACATTCTGAGGAGCAATTTAATGATTACTTCATGATTCAACCTGGACAATATTGAAAAGAATAAAATAAAAAATGGAAAATTTCATCAATTGGGAGGCAGGGATAGGATTAATTATATAGATATTAAAGTCAAAAATAGTCATTGAATATCTAGGAAATATAAGATAAATCTCAATCAGGACTTGAGAGATAAAATTTAAGATCCTACCATTACTTAAAATTAGGCAATTTTAGATTTTCTTTTTTCAATGTGGCTCATATTATAACCCATTTTTCTAATAGTGGCTACTATGCCCAAGTGTGATTTCCTTTTGGGCTTTGTTTGAGTTTTCCCTGGGTCCTCCAGGCTATGAGATCTGAAATGCAAAGGGTCACTATACTAGGAAGTGATAAAATGTACTGTACCTGGGGTAACAAGTCATGGAATTATTGAGACAGAATGAACATGTGTCACCCCAGACATGGATGAACCATACCCAGGGGCAGCCATGGACTCATTCCACTTCTGTCCCTCCAACCAACTGTAGGAAAGGTCTAAATAACTGCTAGGCAAAGGTGGATATGTCCTGCTGCACCAGTTTATAACTGCTGGAATCTTGATCATGTTTCTGTAAAAACAAAAAAAGTGTGGGTTTTCTTAATGTGGTCATATGTGCTTTGTTTGACCACATCTCTAGTTTGAGAGGGTAGATTTGGGGTAGGAAGGACCATTCTGATGCTGGGGTAAATAAATTTTGTACACTACCAACTAAATTAGCCAGTCTCTCTGGGAAGGTTTTCAACTAAAAGACATCAGACACCCAATAAACAATATCACCTTATTGACTAGGGGGAAAGTGGAATCACTCAGAAAGAGGTATGAAAACTTTAAAAGGCTATGATTGTCCACCTTAGTCTTAATAGGCTACAGAGAATCTGAACCTACCTTAATTTCTACTTCATCTTAATCTAGAATGATAATATGAGAAGGCGAACTTGATACACAAATTAGTCACTTAAAATTCAGAAGTAAGAGGGCTGGGGATATAGCTCACTTGGTAGAGTGCTTACCTCTAATAGCTCACTTGGTAGAGTGCTTCCTCTAATGCACAAGGCCCTGGGTTCAATCCCCAGCGCCACAAAGAAAGAAAGAAATTCAGAAGTAAAGTCTCTTCAGACATCACAATGGCAGTCTGGAGTTCTCGTATCCCCTGGGGTCCCTTATCCCCTAGTTCTACTGTTGTGGAGCATGAAGAACATCAGTCTCCTTTCCGATTTTGCCTTGGCCAGATACATGGATTTTCAATGCCTTAAAAAATATGGTCATCATCTTTTCCCAATGGATAGAAATATTAGGGGTAGAATATGTTTAAAGACTCTGGGTTCTTAAACAACCCTTCCTTTGTTTTATAGTCAACGTCATCATGACTGTGACTCCAACAGAGTTGGCAACCTATCATTAGGACAAGAAGGTTCAAACAAGGACCTTACTCCTCCATGGAATTGTTTATTTTTTGCTACACCAAGGGAGGAAATAAAAACATGAATCTGTATAACTTGGACTGTGTCATTATAATTGTTTCATTCTTGTGGCTTTGTGACATCTGTCTTAGAAAATAAATATTTTTGCTCCCAAAATGTAAACTCTCTATTCACCTCACAGATTGTTTCTTATGCCGAATGTTTTCTTTGATATAAGGAGGCTGATTCATAGTGGGATAAGGAGATGGAGCGTGGGAGGAATAGACAAACTCTATAAAGGGCAGGGGGTTGGAGGGGAAGGGAGGGGCATCGGATAATTAATGATGGTTGAATGTGATGATCATTGTTATCCAAAGTACCTGTATGAAGACAGAAATTGGTGTGAAAATACTATGTATACAACCAGAGATATGAAAAATTGTGCTCTCTATATATGTAATAAGAATTATAATGCATTCCACTATTATATATAAATAAAAAAAGAAGAAGAAAATAAATGAAGTTTGCCTCTCAGTACGCCCAAAATGAAAAGGAAATGTTGCAACTGGAAGTCATTGCTGTCAATCATCACAGTTAAAAAAGGAAAGGGAAAGAAAGTCTCTCCAATTTGCATCTACCAACCTTGAACATGAGTAGTCCCTTTGTACCTTTCTCTCTTAAAATGAGGGGACAGGAATAGGAGGGTCCAGTTTCATGATCTTTGAAACAGTTCAGGGAGAAACATGAGAACACAGTGGGAACTATATTTGGTTTTCACTTAATAATGTCTTGATTAAACTACAAATGCTTTGTAAATTCATATAAATATAATTATAAAGCATAATTTGATGCTAATTTATGTCATAATTTATGTCTACTCTTCAGAATTTTAAGCCTTTACTCATTACTTTCTAAAAAGAACCCAGTAATTATGTGAAGGGAGAATGAAAAGAATCAGAGGTGTGGTTGTAGGAGTATTCTTGCTGTCTCCTGGCTCAAAAACAAAGTTGGGGCCTGAAGGGGGCAGGGGTATAGCTCCAGGGCAAAGTTCTTGCTTGGTATTCACAAGGCCCTGAGTTCACTCCACAGCACCTAAAAAAATGAATGCTACAACCTGCAGAGGGATCCTGGAGGTGTGTGAGGATGTGACACCCTGTACTCTCACAATGCCGCCCATTAATATGGGCATCACTGTAGTGAAATATTCTCTCGGGGCAAACAATTTGTTCCCGTGATTAATTGCAAAAGCTGAGACTGACCTTATCAATTTGCCGTGCACAATCTCCTTGAGCACCCAAACGGACCAGGCTCAGGGCAGTGAAGATGCTCAGAAAGGACAAGAACACATTTTCATTTCCCTGACTGTGGTCCATCTCTTTGAAGAGGTCAAAGCCAAATTCTGCATTTGCTGCAGCAAGGGAGGCCATTGTGAAATGGAGGGCAGCCTAGGAGACAGCAGAATTTCAGTTAGTTCAGAGATCATTTTCTACGAGCATTGAGATTTTTGTATGCATTTGTTGTTTAAATTCAAAGCTTCGTCTCTTCGGACTTAAATGCAATAATCTAAAAGCTTATAACAGAGAGCAAAATTTCCTTTGGCTCAACATTCTTGTTGTCAATACTCTACAACTCTATCCTCAGGCAAAAATATTATGATACACTAATTTTTCTCACATTGATATTCTTCAGTGCAGCATTTCTACCTGTGCTCTCCTATTGTCTTATACAGGTAATATTCTTGATTCTCCTTGAGGGGACATTTCTACCCTCAAGTAGCCTTGAGCTACCTGAGCATTTCTATCCTTTTAAGTAGCCTCTGGTTTCAAGTCCCAAGCAGATGCATTCAGGGAATCACAATTTCTCACATCACCCAGTTTGTACTGAAATAGAGCAAAAGTTCTGTTTGAAGTAAACATTACATTATTCCATAGTCTAGCCAAGGTGCTATAGCCTTTGCTTTCTAAAGCACCTGTAACTTAATAGTGTTAAAATTTGGAGGTTAATACATCACTTCCTTATCCCTTCTCTCTACTATGGCCTCCATACACATTGTTAGAGCAATCATTTGTTACAAATTTTTTTCAGGACCACCTTAATTTAAAATATTACACATTCTTAGTCCCATAAGTGCATTTATTCTTTTAAGACAATTTTCTGATTCTCAGTGAATTATGTGGTTACTATAGTATTTATCATGGACATAAAAATGTTTTAACACACAGATCTATCACTCAGTAGAAAACCAGGTCTGCAGTAGCAAATTTGGAATAGAGAATGAAAATCAGATTATCTTTAAATTCTGGAAAGTGTTGTTTCTAAAACACAGAAGACTGACACCCCCGTGACATTTTCAGGAATCTATGTTGGTATTTCTTCGAAGAATTTTTCCACAGCTCAATGATCTTAATACCACAGTTCTGGTTGTCTCAGACTAAATGAACTTGCATGGATGCTCCTAATTATTCCCTTTGAATATGCCATGATATTACATCTAGTGACATTTCTAAGAGTCATAAACCTTAGGAGGCCCAGTCCTACTCTCAATCTTGCTGTTTGAAGTTGTGTGACGTTGGTCAAGTCCTTCATTTCTCTGAGCTTCTAAGATGCATCATACCTCATGAGATGATCTGTTTACAGGATCTAGCTTAGCTGTGCTCAACAGAACATCATACATTTATCTATCTTCTACCCAATAAGAGGGGAACATCATAATAGTTGGTATCTGATGGGGGAAAGTATGGTGTGGGAGGAAAAAAAAGGAGGAGATAAATGGCATTTGAAAAATGGAGTGTTCTAGAATTGCCATTGTGTTGACTTGGTTGCAATAATAAATAATGCCTTTAAAGTTACAAGTGAGAGAATTTTGTTTTATTTTTATCAATTGAGACCTTGAGTTTTTTTTTAATTAACAATACCTATACTAGTAGTAGACAGCCAATAAATCAAAAATGGTAAAAGAGCAATAACCTAATCAGTACTAAAAGACAACAAATGATATTTTTCTGGAAAAAGCATTCCTGAGGAATTCATACCATATGCTTTGGAATACCAAGCTCAGAGAACATTGTTGAGGCAAGAGGCCATAAATAATGGTTTCTTAGGGTCAAGTTCAGCTGTTCGCCATTCATTGTACATCCCATTCCTCAGATGCACTCCAGGATCATAAGGTAAGAACATCATTTATATCCCACTTGCCCTTTATTCTAAGAAAGATCATCTACATATTCTAAAAGTTATCCAGGGCTGGGAGCAGTTCAGTGGTAGAGTGCTCTCCTAGAACGCATGAGCCCCTCGGTTTAATCTCCCCACTACCACCAAAGAGTTAAAAAATAAAATAAAAATTATCCAGAAAAATATTAAATTGATTCCATCTCTAATGCAAGTACTCCAGGGTGAGGAACTGTGGCGGCTGTCACTGACACTACGGGAGAAACCTTGCAGCAAAGGAAGGGAGAAAACTGAAAGCTGTAGGCACAGTGAGGGGCACCGGTAGGGCTTAAGGGCCCCAAACAATCAGGGATTCTAATCATATTTTAGACCTAAAATAGGAGTATTGCTTCTTAAATATGAAACAAATAAGATTGACATTAACAAATATGCAATTAAGTCTATGAAAACGAAACAATGATTTTTATATTAAAGTAAGTAGGCATAAGAGTCTCATTTCTTTCCTGGGGAAAAGTATGCTAAATTCTCTCCCTTCAAAAGAGTTTCCGAGACTTCATGCTGATTGCTGAAAATCAGAGACAGCACTAAATGAAATGAATCACTCTTAGAAAGTAACTTCCAGGGCAAAAGCTCAATAATCTTTTCCAGATATTGACTGCGAAAATTAGGTTTGGTAGAGGATTGTGGGTCTATTTCAACACATTGAAATAATGTGGGTAAGATACTTTAAAATAAGACCTGAAAGATTTTAATGACCCTGTATGGGGACCTGCTTGCACAGTCCCATAGGGGTCTGCAAGCTTCCTGGTACCATATCCCAAAATGCATTTTTCCTTGCTCAAGCCCCAGTTTTTCCGGTTGCTTTGCAAAGTACTACTTTATTCCTTGGAGAAGAAATGCATTTTCCTATTTTTCAACATTATTTTTCAATTACTCTCTAAGCAATAACCACAGATATTCAAGTTTGAATTTTTCAGTCATCCTGGTAACTTGCCACAAAACTGTCATACCAAAGAGAAGAAAAGCAACACAGGAATTAGTTCATTCAAGAAACAGATTACATAATTTTCTTGGCTAAGTTAATCTTATGGGAGAGAAATCATACTAGATTAAAGAATAATTACCGGAAAACAAGAGCCAAGACATTCCTGGACAATTATAAATTCTCAAGTAATAACTTTTAGAGTGACAGGTAGCACTAAACAGGATGTACTTAAACACCTTTGTACAGACATGTTCACGAATGCTGAAAACAAATTCCAAAAATGTTCTTCCCATAATTGCTTTTATTATCTTTTTTTAAAATGCAGATGCACTACAGTTTCTAGAAATGAAAGCAAGATTCTATGCTCTTCATCTGAGATCAAGTCTGAGTCTCAGTGGCAAGCAGGTAATTTTATTTAAGGCTGAACTAAGGCTCTATGCCCCAAGCGTCCATCAGGGATGGAAGAATCAAAATTAGCATGGGGCCAGAACTGTGATTTTCCTTCCTCCCTTAATTACTTTCACAGCAACTTAAAAACTAATAATTAAAGCACGAATTAAAAAAAAAATTCTGAAAGCCTCAAAGAAGTGCCAAATGACTTGGATGGCAGTTAAATAACCAAGACTACTGAAAAGAAAATAGATTACATTAAAGCTGCAGAAGATGTCAGTGTGGCATTCCCCAGAATGCCACTGTGCAGAGAGAGCAGTAAAGCGATTCCTTTCAAATCATAAGAAAACATGGCTTTAAAAGACTAGTTTTTCTTCTCCAAAACAAACCATATTTTGATGTTTCTTGTGTAAATACCTTAGCTTAATATACAACTAGGTAATTAATTTGGAACTTTCAAGTTAATGCAAATTAGCCAATACTCATGAAAGTTCTTCAATCCCAAACTTCAGACTTGAGGCCCTCAAACCCTATAGCAGACTGAGACTTATTTGATTACATACAGTGTATTTCAATCCAAGAACTTTTTACCTTTCATTCCTATAGTCAAGTTGCTATTGGTGTTAAAACAATACTGAAGCTTTGTTTTAAAAGTCTAATTTTTTAAAAAAGAAAAATAATTTTTAAAATAAAGCAAAAGAAAAACAGTCACAAAATAAATTCAATAAAGCATGAAATTATAATGACAATATTTCTTAGACCTAGACTTATTGTATCTAATTGATCAATTATCTGCATTAAATGCTTGTTAAAAAACATTATATAACCTTAGGATAATTTTGGCCATACACAGAAAATTAATCCTAGTTCATGGTGCCTTATTGAAAAGAAGCCTTCATATTTACTAAACTAAAATATACATATCAGAAGGTAATGAATAACTATTAAACATGCTGAGCTTTAAATCTTATAAGTTATATAAGTCAAAGGTGATGCTACAAAAAGTTATTACTCTACAAAAGTCTTTTTGAATCTTTCCATAGATTCAAATTTTGATAAATGTCTCATCAGATGAGTAACTCATTACACTATTAAAACAGACTTCAATACTATTCTCAAAAATCCGTACATTCCAACACGTAATGCCTTAAGTAAGAACACTAGAAATATAGAATCTGGATCGTACTTAATTCCCTATTTATCTCTTTAGAGATGGGACAAAGTTCTCCACTGGAGCTGATCCACTCCATGTCACCACTGAAAACCAGGCACCAACAGGCCGTGAAGGAGAGAAGTGAACAGATGAGATAGTTTGATAGTTTGATGAGTTTAGTGTCTCAGATACCAAGAAGCAGCCAAGATTCGCTCATTTCTCCAATCTCTCTCTCCCTCTCTTCCTCCCTCCCTCCCTCTCTACCTAGCCAGATTTAAGGGTGAACTTTGGAAATATTTACCTTACTGTCTTCATAGAGGAGGTTGGGAGCTGGTTGGGCGAGTCTGAAAGACTTCCCTGCACAACTTTGAAATATAAAGCCTCTGACTCAGACACTCCCTGCTTGCTTTTGTGATGACCATGATAGGTTTAAATAATGCTATTAAAATGAAATTATGTTCAGGCCCTTTGTACAATGAACTAAAAGAAGTTTGTAGAGTATAAGCTACAGCTCCTATTCAAAATAGTCAAAACGGATACTTTCAACAAATGAACTTTTGGTATGAAATTGTATTTAATTTGATACTTAACATCACATGGTATTTTTGTATAGGATATGTAGTTATCCATACTCTAGGCAGGGTTGGGAATTCAATCACTGATATTTGTTATTGCTATTTTTTTTATCCTTCCCCCTCCAGTTTTTGTATCGAACAAGAGACACAACAAAGCCCCTCCTTTCTCCTTTGAGATTCATATTCTGGAAACTGCAAGTTTACTATTACAAAGGAACACAAGTGCAATATAAGAGATTTGAAGAAAACAAAGATCTGGAGAACAGAGCATGTGCATTTTTTCATCCATAAAACAAGAATTCAGATCAATCACATTTTAAATACATATGTATATATTATATATATGTGTATATTATATGTATATCATATATATGTATATTATATGTGTATCATATATATAGTATATATGTATCATATGATACATATATGTGATACCTCTGTTGGAATTGGGGAATACTGCATTTTGGGGGTAAGTGAGTTGACCCCTTTGAGAGGAGTAATATTGTCCTTAGTGTCTGACATTACCTTATACATTCATTATTCCTACAAGCATTTGCCCACAGTCTTCATTTTTTAATTATATGATTTATTGTTAAAATTGAATATCTCAATAATCTGAAACTCTCTAGGGTGAATATCATATCAGACAGCTAGATGTGTTTGAATATATTGAACACATGGGAGAAATAGCTGCCTCCATCAGAAGAGTATTACATTAGGGATAAGAGAATAGAAAAGTAACCACACACACAAAAAAAAATGAGAAAATATGATTAACTCCAGAAAAAAAAAAGACAGATTATACTTTGAAGCATATATCACAGTGCACTTGATTTGGGCAGAGGCACTACTGGGGATTGAATACAGGGATGCTTTACCACAAGCTTCTTCCCTAGTTCGTTTTGTTGCTTATTTTGAGAGAGGATCATACTAAGTTGCTGAAGCTGGCCTGAAATTTGCCATCCTCCTGCCTCAGCCTCCTAGGTCACTGGGATTACAGATGTGCACCATCACATCCAGCTCCTGGTACACTGTGGATAAAATTCTCTTCGTTGTAAAATTTACAAGTTGAATGTTGGGCTATACAAACCTTATGATGTATTTCTCAGGGAAATTAAGAGGAGATTTTAAAGGGTGAGGTGGAACAAAGTTTTGAAGTAGTACATCATCTTTCCATGAATGTAAGTTTATAGATAGTCTTCAAAAGTCAAAGTACAAAAAGGCAGCATTAGCTTGCTATTTAGACATTCAGAAGAAGATACGAGAAGTAGCCTTAAAAGTGTTTGAGCATGTTGTTCCTACTAAGTGGAAAGCCGAGTGGGAGGTAAAGGGCCAGCAGATACTGTTGATTGACATGATAAGTGTTGTGATCTCATGTGGACTGCTCATCACTTAGTTCATATGTAAACCAAATGTAAAATAATGAACAAATTATTAGATCTAGGGTTAAATCTCAACTTGGCAACTCTAACTGTGTGATCTGGAAGTAACTTAATTTCTCTATGCTTCATTTTTTTAATTCACAAAATAAGAATTTAGATCAATATTCATGGTAATCAACATGGCACTTGTTGTAGGACAGACCCTCAACAGTGTTAGTTCCCCCTTTCTACCTCTTCTCTACCACCACTTTGACCTTCTTATAGTATATCATATGTCATTACTATGCAACATTAAAAGAACTTGGTTATGCAGTATTTTACTTGCCGAAATCTGGGGTTTGCCCCTAGTATCCCTCTGATATGATACTTCTGTCCCTTTCAGGAAAATAATGCAATGGCTTCTACTAGGGACTTTAATCATAGGAGGACTAGGCAGGATTGGGTGGCTGGGAGTGAAAGTTCAGAGCTAACAGCAGGGAGAAGTAACTGAACTGAGTGGACAATGATTGTGGAGGAAAGAGTGAGGGTCACCAGCTTATCCCAGATTTCCTGGGACTTCTTGAACTTGGCATCCTGGAACTCCCTCAGTCTTGGTTGAACATGGAGACCTACCTTCTTCCTTCAGGTACTGTTTCCAGAACTCTCACAAGACCTGCTTATCTGATGCACCCAACCATTGGGTCAACTCTCACCAGAAGGCATTTCTGCCACCAAATTTGCCATCATCTGCTCACCAGTGCCTGATATTTTCATGACAGGAGACATGGGCTCCCATTCTACTGTCAGAAGTCAATTTTAGAAACCAAATGAATCAAAAAAGAAAAAGAAACCAAATAAATCATCCCCCAAAGAATGCACACAGCATGAATCCTTTTTGAAAAGATCAAGCCAAGCAAAAGTGTATTTTTAAGAATGCTTCTCTGAGTGGATAAGACATGCCAAAGGGGTGATCGCCATAGTTCCCTCTAGTGCAGGAGAGGTTCTTTAGGTTATGGAATACAAAAGGGGGCTTCGGGGGTCCTGACAATGTTCTGTTACATTGCATGTACATATTGAGTACACCTTTATGTAAATGAGTTATATTTTGTAAATTTCAAATTCATAAGGAAATAAAGACATCAAAGTCTTCAGAGATAAGAAGACCATGGCACATTGACTGTAACTGATCATTTATCTGATCCTGAGAGCAAATTTTGATGGAAGATGGGCTGGGATCCTGAACCACGAACAAACAAGTAAGAATTAAATGCTGGCAAGACTGGTTTATAGCAGAGACCAGGGATCATGGTCTCTGGTCCCCAAACCAAGCCGATTTGCTAGTGGTGATGCAGGCTGGCCCACCAGAAGAGGAATCCTTTCAATAAAGTAATCTAAAGAGATTTCAGGCCTCTGTGCAGGATCATTGGCCATCTATACAGTTCTCCAGATCCAGTAGTAAACCTGAGTCATCTACAACAGCAGCAGGGAAAAACACATTTGCATATCAACAATGTATTCACACCAGTATCCTGATACACAGAAGCAGTGATGAGAATCTGATACTCTTTCTGTCTAAAGTCTCACTCCCAAAACATTTCCACACTGCTGTGGACTATTTGGTCCTAAATGTTTTCCACATGCCCTAAGGTGGCAAAGAAGGGCTGACAGATTGATTTACCATTATTTAATGAACCAAAGTAAGGATAACTAAACAAAACTTTGTTCTAAAAATCTTAGAATCAGGTTTTAAAGCCTTTCCATAAGTGCAGTCTGCACCCAGTCCAGGCACCTGCTTATTGATGTTTGAACTTCGCTTCTGGGATTGTTTCTCTGTGACTCAGAGCACAGCCCTGACCCTAAAGAAACTTACATACATTTAGCTTTCCACCAGGTTTCAAAATAGCATCTGACCAAGGCAGTCATTATGTGGTTCATTCAGCTTGTATGTGATCAGATTTGAATAGGTAGTTTTCCAATCTCTACTCTTTATAGTGACAATAGTTTTACTGTAACCATGCAAACAAATCAAGGATCCACAGTACTTATTAGCCTGTCTCAAAACATAACCCTCTGGAAGAGGATGCATCAGTTGATTAAATGGACATCAAAAGACTAAAGCACAAGAGCTACAACTCTGTGTTTTTGGTATTCATTTGTATTGCAATTTGTCATTGATCTCTTGTAGCCCAATTTTTTCACCCTATCTTGTGCAAATTTGCCTGACATAATGAGCTTAAATAAAATTTATACAACATACTTCTTATTACTCCTCTGGACCCCTAAGTGGCTTCTGTTTGTTCTGTTTTCCATCCTTTCTTGCTCCTCCTTCTCCCCAGTTGGCCTTGGATTGGAATTTTCCAGAGATGCATCTGTTGTGTTAGTTATCTCATTTGGCCTCTCTACCTGAACTCAGCAGCTTCAGATAGCAGCTGAAACTCGGGGTGTTAGTTCATTCTTGTCTCCCTGCCAGCTTCTCCTACACCCTTATGACCTGGCAATGGAAAGCCACATCTGCACCACCCAGCTCCTCCCTGCAGTAATGCAGGCTTGGTTCACTGAGGTGGTTTTGCCCCATGAAGAGTGGCCAGGTACAGGGAAAGGTAGATTGGAGCCATGGGTGGTTCATGCCTTTCCCATCAGAACATGCCGCACAGGGGCAGCAGCACATCCCAGTCCTGGCTTCAGCATCACAGTGTCACACTGTGTATTGTGTCCCCCTCACCTGCTATGCACAAAAGGTTTACAATCCTGATTTTTTCCAGCTGAATTTTTTCCAAAGTACAATGTTCACCAAAATGACTATTCCTGTGTTGTGAAAAGCTGTTGGAATTAGAAGGTACCATCGAATTACTGTTGCATAGCTGTCAATTTTGTCTACTTTTACTCCTTCCCATGTAGAAGGAGGTCTTGGTAGATTTTCCATAATCAAATAGAACAGTTACTGTTCACCTCTGTGATGGCTTGTGAGTACAGAGGAATAACAGATCATTTCTGAAACTAATTTTTGATTTAGCCATTGCTTTCTGATGGAGAAGTTGTTGATATGGAAAATATAAGCATACAAATGGATCTCCTATTTTCTATATTCTCACTGTCATGATAACTGGGTAGAGTGAACCAAAATACTTTTAACCTCACTTCCTATTCTCTATCTATTGTAGAGGTAAAGTACTTTCAGGTCATGAAATTGTTGGCAAGTTATGAGCAAGGGACGCAAATGACACACGAACTAGATAATCCTCCTGGGATTACTCAGAGTCGACCATAATTAAAGGTCTATTCGCCATTGTTTTCTTCTCCACTTTAACTCATAAATTCCTCCCACTACCATGTGCAACAGTTTATTTACAACTAGCCAATCCCCAAATGACTTAAGTCCCAGAAGGAAACAGGCGTGGGAACTGGTAGGTCATGTCAATTCTCCCTGGCCATACAATGATAACCCAAATT